CCCGAAGTCCAGCATATTAATCCACAGCACCAAACCAGAGAGAAAGAGACAATGTGCCCATCCTGGTGTGGCACTACAGGATAAGCACTGTGAAGTTAACCACAAGGACAGTGGTTCAAACCTATTGGCTGCTTCACAGAAACCCTATACAGGGTGGCTTTAAATTGGAACCTACTCGATGGCACTTAACAACAAAACATATATGTTTTCTTCATCATCAAAAAGAACACCTCAAGATCTATCTTGAATTACAACAGTGAAGTATTTTAAGTCTTCTTTGCTTTCAGCATGCAAGGTTCTATCATCTGCATATCGCAGGTTGTTAATGAGCCTTCCTCTTATCCTGATGCTACATTTTTTTTTTCTCATATAAACCAGTTTCTCAGATTATTTGCTCAGCATACAGGCTGAATAAGTATAGTAAAAGAATACAACCCTGGCACACCCAAATTTAGAGATCATCTGAAGAATAGATTTGATGAATTAGACACTAATGACCAGAGACAAGAAGAATTGTGGGATGACATTAAGAACATCATACCAGAATAAAACAAAAGGTCATTAAGACAAGAAAGAAGGAAAATATAAAAACGGATGCCAGAAGAGACTCTGAACCTTGTTCTCCAATGTAGAGATGCTAAAGCAAATGGAAGAAATGAGGAGGTAAAAAAGCTGAATAGAAAATTTCAAACTGCAACTCCAAAAGACAGTATTATAATGTAATGTGCAAAATATTTGAAGTTAGAAAACCAAAATGGAAGAACACGGCATCTCTAAACCTGAGGGAACTGAAGAAAAAATTCAAGCCTCAAAGGATTGAATTTGAAGGATTCCATGGGCAAAATATGGAATACGATGTTTGAAGAATGCATCACAAGACGATGGAAGGTATACAAAGGGTAACTGTACCAAAGACAAGGGTCGATGGCCAACCATTTTAAGAGGCAGAATATGATGATGAGGCAATGATCCTGAAGGAAGAAATGCAAGTTGCACTGACAGCACTTGCAAAAAACAAGGCTCCTAGAACTGATGGAATACAAATTGAAATCTTCCAACAAACTGATGTGTCACTAGAGGCACTCACTCATCTACATGAAAAAATTGGAAGACAACTACCTGACCAACTGATTGGAAAAGATTCATATTTTTTCCCATTCCAAAGAGAGGTGACCCAGCAGAATGTGGAAATCATCAGACCATATTTATTTCTCATGCAAGTGAAGTTTTACTAAAGATAATTAAAAACTGGCTAGTAGTACATTCAAAGAGAGCAGCCAGAGGTCAAGCCAGATTCAGAAGAGGACCTGGAATGAAGAACATCACTGCTGCTGAGAGATGGCTCTTGGCTAAAAGCAGAGAATACCAGAAAGATGTTTACCTGTGTTTTATTGATTACACAAAGGCTTTTGATTATGTGGCTCATGACAAGGTAAGGACAACATTGCGGAGAATGAGTATTCCAGAACACTAAACTGTGCTCATGAGGAACCTGTGGCTAGATCAAGAGGCAGCTGTTTGAACACTGAATGGTTTAAAATTAGGAAAGGTGTGTGCCAGGATTGTATTCTTTCACTATACTTACTCAATCGATGTACCGAGCAAATAATTTGAGAAGCTGGATTATATAAAGAATGTGGCATCAGGATTGGAGGAAGGCTCACTAGCAGCCAACGATACGTAGATAATATAACCTTCCTTACTGAAAGCAAAGAGGACTTAAAATACTTATTGATGAAGATGAAAGACCACAGCCTTCAGTACAGGTTACACCTCAATGTACAGAAAACAAAAATCCTCACCACTGAAGAATAAATAACTTCAAGATAAATGGAAAAAATATTGAAACTGTCAAAGACTTCATTTTGCTTGTATTCACCATCAATAAACATGAACGCAGCAGTCAAGAAATCAAATGACGTATTGCATTAGGTAAATCGGCTGCACGAGACCTTTTTTAAAGTGTTCAAGAGCAAAGATGTCAGACGGAGGACTAAGGTGCACCTGACCCAAGCCACGGTATTTTCAATGACCTCATATGCATGAGAAAGTTGGAAAATGAATAGAGAAGACCATAGAAGAATGGATGCATTTGAGCTATGGTACTGGAGAATATTAAAAGTACCATAGACTGCCAAAATAACAAATTTGTTGGAAGAAGTAAAGTCAGAATAATCCTTAGAAGCGAGGATGGCCAAACATGGTCTATCATACTTCAGACGTGTTATGAGAAGGGACTAGTTCCTGGAGAAGCACATCATGCTTGGTAAATTAGAGGATCAGAGAAAATGAAAAAGATGCCCAATGAGACAGACTGGCACAGGACCAGGCATTGTTTCATTCTGTTGTGCAAGCAGTCACTATTTGACATCACCTAATAACAGCAATGTAAGTCAGAACCTAGTCAATGGCACTTAACAACTATATATATATATATATACAATTTCATTTTTATTTCATGACATTTGTTAAAAAGTCAGATACTAGGGAAAAAGTTTCTTCCTTAAATTTTCTCCAAAAGAACAAAAACATCTCTGAGGAATGAATAAACTGGTTAATAAGTAGCTTAAAAGGCAAATGTCTGTTAAAATGTAATTATGGTTACTCAAGGTTTAAAAAACTAAACAGCTACATTTCCACAAAAAGTTAACCATATACCTATCATATGACCTAGCAATTCCATTCCTAGGAACACACCCCAAAGAAGTGAAAAGAAGGAACTCAAACGGATGTTTGTACTCATACATTAATGGTCACTAAAGCAGTATTCACAGTAGCCAACAGACGGAAACAAACCAGTTGGCTATCTATGTCATATCCACACAATGTAATACATTATTCAGTCATAAATACACATAATACAGTATGGATGAACTTTGAAAACATGGTAAGTGAAATAAACTAAGAACAAAAGGTCAAATATTATTCTGATTCTACTTATATAGAAAATAAGTGAATTCATAAAGACAGAATGCAGATTTAAAAAAGACAATGTAGATTAAAAGGTACTGGGGGCATAGGGAAGGGGAAGAAGTTATTGCCTAATGGGCAGAGATTTCCTATTTGGGGTGGGGAGTGAAAAAGTTTTAGAAATAAATGGTGGTGATGATTGCACAACATTGAGAATGTAATCAATGTCATGAAATTGCATTCTTAAAAATGGATAAAATAGCAAATTTGATGTTATCCATATTTTACTACAATAAGACAAAAATTTAAACATACAACAACATATAAATAAACCGACTAGAGTAAGACTGGGACTCCTGGTGTGGTGCTGTAGAATCAGCCACCGGACTGCCAACCACAAGGTCAGCAGTTCAAACTCCTCAGCTACTCCTTAGAAACCCTATACAGGGTTGTCACTAAGAGTCAGAACCAACTCGATGGCACTTAACAAGAAGAGTAAGACCAAGGTTTACATTAAGATCAATCTAAAAGGACAAAGAATTTAAAAATAAGTATTTACTAAAATTATAATCACAGTTCCAATAAAAATTAAATGTTTTCATATTATTTTAGGGTAACACTCCACACTTAACCTTACATATGTGAATATATGAAAGCCAGAAAAGGGCAATTTTTAAAACTTGGACAGGCTCTAGCGATCTACTTAAAGAAATAATGAAAGCCCTCTGAGCTTCTCTTCCCAGCCCTTCAACAGAAGGCCTCAGTGCCATCACCTCTGACAGGTGTTTATTTCCTGCACCGAGTACGCGGCAAGGGCAGTATACTACTTCTGTCTGCACCACAGCTCTAGTCATAAGCAAACTGCTTGGATTTAGTCAAAATGTAATTTCTATTTATTCAATAATACCCTACATTTCAAAGAACGAATCTAATCCTCTCTATATCAGCTCCCTGAGTATATGAGGATAATAACATTATTTCCACAACAACCCTTTAAACATGTCTATTGTTTTCAAGGCTAAAAAACTTTTATTCATTCCACTAGATATCAGAGTTTCCAGACTTTTCTTTACCTCCATGACCAGTCTCTCATCAGTATAAAATAAGGTGGACTTACTGCTGGGCTTCTTATGGACTCTACATATAACCTACTGCTATAATGGTATCTTCCGCAACCTGGATCACTACAGACAACTGAAAGGAGTCACCACATGCACAGCTGTTGCTTATCAAAAACAGGCACAACTGCGACCTTGAGAGATAGTCACTTAATGTAGAAGTGGACCAAGACCAAGTCTTACAACTAAGAGTGCCGTCTTCTTCCCAACACATCAGAATCTCATTCCTGGTACAAAATGTAGCAACTGAAAGTGATATTCTCTTATGGACATAAAAAAACATTCTCTAAAAGTTACCATTAACTATGACTTTGGATTTTTGGTGGGATTTTGTGCCTCTGAATTTTCTAATTTGCTTTTCAAATTAAAGCAACAACACATAATACTCCTATAATTAAATTCTTTTTCATCTTTAAAACACCGAGAAAAAGAGAGGCATAGTGACAATTAGCATGACATAATTAAAATACAAATTACCAGTGAGCTTGCATTTCTATGTCAATGCATGTCTTGTACACATTTTTCTTAAACAGTCATTATGTATTATAATATTTTGTTTGAAATGTAAAGAACTACATGAGAACATGCAAACATAAAGTTACTATGTTAGTATATACAAAATTGGAAGGGTTAAATCATTCAAAACGGAGCCACTAATGAGTATGTCAGTACTTAAAACCAAAACGTAGGCCACTATGGTCTGATGATAAAATGCACAAATGACTCTTAAACAAAAACAAAGAAAATGAACTTTAGAAAGCATGAGGATTATGATGAGTTTCAAGCACTAACTGCAAGGACATTTCTCAAACTCCAAATGTTAGGTGACAATTTAGCAATCAGAGATGGCACTGTAAAAGCAAGCAACATGAATGAACACATACTGTCAAGTTGGAGGTGGCATTCCGCTTTGACTAACAAAGGGAAGGATTCCCCCCCATGACAGAGGCATTGATACACTGCCCTCTGTACCTGGCACATCCTGGGGGAGCTCAGATGCCACCTTCTTCTCTGCCATGTTGCTGCTATCCTGGGTTTCTGAGAGATACCCCATGGGGCTCCTCCCCTCAGAGGGACTAGTCTCTTCGGAAGAAGCATTTGTTGTGTTGTCGCCAAGATTTGTTGACATAGAGTTACTTTTATCCCCAACTTCTGTTGGCTCTACAGTAAAAGGCACAACAAAACTTTAAAGATATTCTTTAAAATTGTTTTAGGCTGAATGGCCACATTTCATCAACTAGTAAGAAGGAAGGCTCACCAAAGCACCTTTCTTCACAGTCGTCTCGAAGCAGTTAAATTCTGGGATAGTTTTGCAGTAAGTAATCCAGATACTAAGAATATTAAATATATTAAGAACTAATATTTTACAAATGAGCATTATTTTACCACATACAAAAGGATAAACTCTGATATAAAGAGTTCAATTTTTCAGCAATAAATCTCATAGAGGAAAGGCAATTATTAGAAAGAATAAATAATGATACTGTGTACAATTATAGCAAACCCACCAATGCATAAACCTGATGAGCACTGCTGCACATGCTGCAAGGAGGCAGTGCGTGTGCATGTGCGTGTGCATGTGCATGTGCATGTGCATGGGGGGGGGAGTGGGAGGCGGGTGTTCTAATCGCTTTGAAATACGAAAATTAAGCCGTCGCTTGCAATATGAAATCCCACTGTTTTCTGAATAAAACTGGAGGTTTTATAAATAACTGATGAAAAAATATCTTTTTAATGAAAAAAAATCTTTTTACCCTCAGATTTTCCTTGTTCAGGATCCTCATCTGGTGTTTGGTCATCATGGTCTTTGTCAAGGGACTGTTCTTCAAACTCCTCTCTGCTTTTCTCAGAGTCTTTGGACTCAACATGCTCAGTCTCATTCTTGTCCTTGTCTATTTCTGCAGGGCTTCTAGCTGGATCAATTTCTCCTTTTTTGACTCTTATGGATTCCAAAATTTCTTCTGTAATAAAAACAAAGAGAATATTTTATTTCTATTTGACCACATAGATAAGTTCTTCAAATGCAATACGAGTTTCAAATATAAGTTGCTAAATATTTTTAAACATTAGAACTATGGGAGACATAGAGCAGCAGAGGACTCTATTTAGACTCATGGAAAAAGAAAGGCTGTGTGCTGGCAGCCAGGAGGCAGGCTTGCAGAATGTGTCCTTTAGTTGTTTAAGTGATTATATATATTCCTGAGTGTTTTTGTGTACACCCCCCCAAAACACAACAACAACAACAAACCAACCAAAAAAAAAAAAACCCAAAGGGGATAGAAGTGAATACTGTTGACTGATGATGCTCGGAGCTGTCATCATTGCAATGAAACGATGAGTGTAAAAACTGATGTTCTCACAAGTAGATATATGCACACCAATGTTCATAGCAGCACTATTTACAATAGCAAAAAGATAGAGACAGCCTAAGGGCCCATCAACTGAAGAATGGATAAACAAAATACACACGATGGAATATTATGCTACCTTGAAGAATAACAAGGAAGCTGCAAGCCACCGCATAACATGGAAGAACCTTGAGGACATTATATTGAGTGAAATTAGTTAGTCACAAAAGGAAAAATACTGCACAAAACCACTACTATAAAAGACTAAGAAAAAGAACTCATACTAAAAGGGGGGGAGGGGGGATTCTTTGCTGTAAGTTGCTCTCCCAGGAGACATCAAGCCAAGTGGTCAGGTCCCCTCAGGACAAACCCCCTTCCAAGACTAAGACTCAATGGGAATGCACGCTCTGATTGGTGACTACATTCGTCACCGGTAAGGGGAAGTGAGGAAAAAACAGCAATAAAGCTGCAAGCTAAGCCCTACAACATTCAATAGACTCCTGTGAACCTAGGTGGAGACCTGGTTAGCCAGCAATGTGGCAGGATTTGGGGACTCTGAGGACTAGAGTGGAGAATGAAGCATCCAGCTAATAAGAGAGGGCATATGCCCAAGAACACCCAGACTTAAGAAGAGAGGGCATATGCCCAAGAACACCCAGACACGTTGACCTGGCTTCAATGACTGGACAATCAGAGCTCAACTAGAAGAAAGAAGAGGAAAAAACAAGAGTAATCTGATGAACTTGACCTACACCTATGGATGCAGCAAAGGTCATTCCCACCCACCCCCTCCATACACAAAGTAGACAAGGATGGGCAACTTGGACATTGGCTACCCAAAATGGGGGGCTACAAAGGCAAGAAGTGACTGGCTTACAAGCTTTCAAGAGGGAACCTAGATCCAGAGGGCAGGGAGGAAGGTAGACTCCCCACTGAGTAGTATCCAATCTGCCTAGATGAAAGGAGATACGGATAGGTCTCTTGCGATTGTTGCTGTTAAGTGCCTTTGAGTCAATTCCGACCCCTAGCGACCCTGTATAGGTTTCCAAGGAGCAGTTGGTGAGCTTGAACCACCAACCTTGCAGTTCAAACAACTTTGCAGTCTGATGCATTAGCCCACAGCACTGTGACATAACAGTGAATAATTGTTCTCAGGACTGACTGTGAGGGTTGGAAATGTAAAGGTAGACATTCTGTATCAAAAGGAAGGGAGTGATGAACTTTGCAGTCTAGGAGCGGAGGTCCCTAGGACCATCCAGTGAGAAGAGCGGAGAGTGGGACCCTACCCAGAGAAGCTGTGACAGCAGAGATGGAGGCAGAGACGAGGACACGGAGAGAGGGAACAGCCTAGGACTCTAGACCCAGTGAGGGAGAGGGGCTGTGTGATGATGACTGGGGGGCAGGCTTGCAGAGTATACCCTGTGGTTGTTTGATGATGCATGGAGGGGATTGTAACCATGGCAATGAAACAATATATGACAGGATGAATGTAAAGCTAATGTTCTCCTATGTAAACTACTACATAATTCACAATGAAACATTATTTAAAAAATTCAAAAACTGATGTTCTTCCATGTAAACTATTACTCAATTCACAATGAAAACTAAAAAAAAAAAAAAAAAGTAAAACCATTAGAATTATGAAATAAGGATCAAGATTACTAAAGAAATTTTGTTGTTTAGTGTTGCTATGGAGTCCTGCAGGATAATGAACTGCAATGTCGGCAGTTCAAACCCACCAGCTGCTTCCCGGAAACCCTATACAGGATTCACTATGAGTCTGAACAACTTGATAACACCTAACAACGACAAAGTTGCTGTGAGTCAGAACGAACTTGACAAAACTTAAGAATACTCAACCAATATGGTTATTTAGCTTTTTAAAAATTTCATGCTAATGATAGTCTCTACTTTCTTTTAAAAGAAAGAAATTAGTCTACCTTGTAAAATCGTGATGGAGTATATTGCTGTCACATTCTCTGTCATATGGCAAAAACAGCAAGTTGGCACAAATCTACAATCTGGGCAGTGAGGTTCTGTGATTAAACCTATGGCCCACTAATGCTCTGAATGAATCAGCTGTGTGAACCTGGGCAAGCTACTTGACCTCTCCAGGCCTCTATTTCCAGCAATGTAAAATGAGACCACAAAGGCCCCTTTGGAAACATTTCATTCTGAAGTCCTTTCTTGTTCTAACAATCTCTAAGATGCAATGATTCTCCCTCAGCGAGGACATGGTACAGAGCACATAGTCTATCTTGTGGACGCATGGATATGAAGTGTATTTTTTGGGTTCTACTCCTATACTATCAGTTTTAATACTTTTGCTGAAATAGTACCAGCTTTACACTAACCCTAATGACTAAAAGTTCTTTCAGTGAGTTTCTATGTCCTTTTGACACATTACAGCCTTCTATTTAGTAGCTATTTAGCATTTCTTCACTTTCTATCAACTACAAGATGCTTCGGGTTAATCTTCTATTGCACCAGCGCCAGTCCTAAGAAACCACCACCTCTCTCCAAGGAGCCCTGGCTCCTCTCTATTGGAGAGTATTTATAAACCACTGTCTGGGCACTAGGTCTGCTTGTTAATACAGGGTTGTCATTGCTTCTAGATCCTCTCATTGGACAAAGCCAGGAAGCAATTGTATGCATGTGGACTCAGGCATGGTTATAACCCAACCCAAATCCACCGCCATCAAGTCGATTCTGACACTATAAACAAAGCAGAACTGGTAGCTAGGGTTTCCAAGGCTGCAAATTATTCCAGGAACAGACAGCCTCATCTTTCTAACTTCAGGGCTGGTAGGTTTGAACCCCCAACCGTGTGGTCAGAAACCCAATGCATATCCCACATCTATGCTTATTTCTGTATTTATCTTGTATGTATATGTTTACATGAAAACAGTATATGAAAAACACACGCTTCATTCTATGAGTACCCCCTTATTTGTAACTTCTTTTTCTGATGAAACCTGGCTCTCATTTTCTACAATATATTATTTGTTCAATGCTAAGATGAGACTTTCTGCCCCATAAAGATCTGCAGCCTCAAAAACCCCATACAGAGCACTGAGTTGGACTGACTCAATGGCACATAATGACCAGGGCATACAGTACACATGCAAAGCCGTTTCAGATGCTAAATCATACTCCCATGAAAAAAATTGATCAACTACAGTACAGTGTTTGAGAACAAAAAGAAATATTTGTAATACCATGTACGTTTTTGTGAATTTCCTTGTTATCCTTTCCTGTTTAGCTGTTCTCTACATTCATTTTGGTCAATGTTTCTTAAATTGTTGGAGGGCCCCTGGTGACCTTGTGGGATAAGGCCTGAGGTTCAAAACCACCAGCTGCTCCTCAAGAAAAAGATGAGGCTGGCTGCTCGCATAACCTTTCACTGCCTCAGAAACCCTATATAGAGTCATCAGATGTCAAACTCGACTTAATGGCATTGGTTTCGAGTGGGTTTTATTCTCCTTTCCCAAGTATAAAAAAGCCTGTGAAGTAATCACTGGAAAAAACTGGCCTTTCTGGCAAAGTGATTATGACTGACTTGCTTGGAGTTAATTTCTCACTCTCTCTCAGCTTCCCTACTCCTAATTCCTGTAAGAATTTGGAACCAATGATTATATGACTAACTAAGACAATTACCGGAGAGCAACCTGCATACGTTCTGTCCTCTTCTTCATCCAACTCACCCTAGTGCCACTATTTACATTGATTCCTTGCATTCTTTAACCTATCTGTATTGCTGCTTCATTTATTCATGCGAAATACTCTTCTTGTTGTTAGGGGCCACTGAGTCAGCACCCACTCATAGCAACCTATGCACAACAGTCCGGCACCAACCTCACAATCGTTGCTGTATTTGAGCCCATTGCTGCTGCCATTGTGGCAATCCATCTCATTGGGGGTCTTCCTCTTTTTCTCCAACCCTCCACTTTACCAGTCATGGTATCATTCTTGTTTATATATTACATCTTATTGCCCGGTTTATCAAGTACACTTATATCATCTTTTTCCCAAAAAATGATATTCTTGAGGTCATCCCACAATTCTACTGGTCGTTAGTCTTAGTGTCTGATGCATCAAATCTGTTCTTGAAATGGTCTCTAAGTTCAGGTCAGATATGTTCAAGGTCAGATTTTGGCTCTTATCAATGGAACTATCTTATCAGATTTTTACTCTTATCAATGGAATTATCACAATCACTTTTTTTTTTTTAATTTAAGGTTTTATTGTGGATTGAGTGAAAGTTTACAGGGCATTATTATCAGTTTTACATTCAACAAATCATATACCTTGTTTCATTACATTGATTATATTCCCCTCCATGTACCATCAGTTAACAGTATTTCTATCCACTTTAGCTTTTTATCAAAAAACACACAAACAAAAAAACCCACTGAGGCATATATAATAATTTACATTTCCAAAGGGCACATTCTGCAAGTCGGCTCCCTGCCACCAACTCTTCTTAGTCCATGAATCTAGAGTCCTCAGCCGCTCCCCCTCTCCATGCCCCCCATCTCTGCCTCCATCTCTGGCGCTGCTGCTTCTCTGGATAAGGTCCCGCATTCTGCTTGTGCGCTTCTCTCTTGATGCTC